AAAACCAACTAACTATCTTTTTTTTTTCAAAAACTAACTAAAGTCTCATTCTCAAACCAACCATCCCACCTTTTTCAATCTCATCCAATCAAAACGCGTCATACATCTCCCATTTCTTCATTTCGATAACACAAACAAATTTTTACCTAGAATTATAAAATTTCCGAACATTATTTATAAACTAATCTTTTTCTACCAATTCTTATGAACTAACAAAAACATATCTTTCTAAAATCTATTCTATTGTCCTAATTACTGCACAAATTTATTTGGAAAACCCGCTTCCATTGTCTAGGATTTCACTTAAGCTTATTCACGGCACTCAAATATATTTTAACAAAGAAAATAATTTATGCATATCTTACGTTTTGTTCAATATAGGTAATCTAAAGATAAAAGACTTTCATTCTTCGAAATGTTTGTAGTTTATTATTCGACTTATCTGAATTATTTTAATTTTTTGAACTTTGAAATATTTTAAGCAAACCAATATTTTTCTTTCTCGATTTTACATATCATAACAATATGTATATATATATATATATATATATATATATATATATATATATATATATATATATATTGCTATGATGTTTTGTTTGTGTGTGAGCAATGAATAATGTAAAATAACATATATAAGTATAGGGTTTTTATCGCGGTTCTCAAAGAATTAGTTTGTAAGTATTTTTTTAAATTATCTTTATTATAACTATTATGAAACATACATACATATCTAACTTAGACAATATAAATTTAGAAAAACCTATTTTAAATTTGAAATTCTTACAATAATTAAATTATATTAACAAAATTTAGTCCTTTTTTATCACCAAACGCCTATAAATGAAACTATTCTTCAAAATAAAGGGTATAATCACCACTCAATATCTTTTTATCAGCCTCGGTTATCCTTGTTTTTGTGAAATTGCTTTTTCCAAATTTACCAGAATGTTTTAATCATCAGCTTCTACCAATTTAAAATATTTTTCTTTTTAATAGCAATTATAAATGGGTAAAATATTCTTTTTTATTTATTGTTTCTTCTTTGCTTCTTACTTATAATCTTATTTTTTCTTCTTAATTATCTCCAATCACCATACAGATATTAATTTTAATATACTTTCAAATATATTTTCAAATACTATAAAACACTGTATACTATCTGCTTGTACTATTTACTGATCAACTAACTTCTTAATAAATTTATTAACTAAGTGTCGAACTGTCTCCTGTTTAACTCCTTATTTAATTATCTCCATATTGTCTTACTGTAACTGCTAACTATCTTGAACTGTCTGATTAATGCACTGTCTTACTGTCTAATCCCAACTCTCATACTGTTATACTAACTGTATAATCAATGCACTGCCTTACTGTCTAATCCCAACTCTCGTACTAACTGTCTAATGAATACTGTGTTAATGAATCCTTGCTCCAAATTACATCGTATTTATATCTTTTCATCGTTCCCGAATATTCTAGCCACAAATCATGTTCGAAACTCTTTATCTCATCAATATCCGAATGTTCTCGAATATTTTACTATGCAAATATGGTTAACTGGCTTCTATTAACGTGTTCTAGAAAATTCTTTACCCTTCTATCGAGAATTTTGTGGACAGTTAGGGTTTTCAGATCAGAATATACACTTATATATAAACTAAACATCTTAATTTAATAGATAACACTATTTTACATCCGTAATTATTATTCAAATGTCAATTATTAACTTATGTCATAATAATACAGTGTAAATTCAGTATATATTTGGTTGCCCATGCACATGGTTCACTTAAATATATCTAAAATATTAAAATTATTAAAATAAAACTTTGTACACTTACTACTTGTTAATTTCTTAAAAATACTCTCATATAAATATTTTTTTATAATATTCTTTAGTCTATAACTTATATTTCTTTAAGCACTATTTAAGTTTATTAATTAAAAAAATATATTACTATGCTAATTTCTTCTATATCTATTATTATCTCAATATATATATATATATATATATATTATATATATATATATATACATAGTAAAATCTTAAATATTCGGAAAATCTGCAAGAAAAACTCTAATGTGTATCAATTATTTCGCCAAAGAGAATTAATTTGGCTTCTTCAGGGCTGAAAGAGAATAAATTATAATTAGCTTCCATATATTTATCTAATAAAAAAAACATTTATCTTACCGTAAATTTTAGAAATGTCGAGTTAGGATGTTTAAAAACTTAGCTAGTAACAACATAGTGGTGTTTTTTGTTACTATGTGCAAAAAAGTTTTTTTTTAACATTGGAAATGTATGGTAGCTTTGAACTTAAAACGCAAAGGTTTACCCAAGGTTAATCGAAAAACCCAATGTAACTACATTTAAAGGAAGTAATTCTTTGAATTGTCGGCAATAACTAAATTTTTGATTGTTATAAAGTTTGAATGTGAGGTTCTGTTTTCTTAGAACGCAAGCGCTGACAATTACAAGTAGTGCTTTTGAATATTTATGTCGTTAAGGTTCATTGGTAAAATCGATGAAGTTGGTAACTTATCTGCAAAGATTAAATTTCATGTATATATATATATATATATATATATATATATATATATATATATTATATATTAAGGTGATATTAAAAGTCTGAGGTGCGCCAAGCACTTAATTAGCTAATTAATTAATTAAACTTTTTTAAATAATGCAATTATGATTCTATCAAACTATTTACTTTTCTTATCTAAGGATTATACTCGTGTTTTAATATCTATGCTTTACATATTATAGGTAAGGTCCAACGAATACCGGATTAATAAAAAAACATATATGCTACAACATTATATATTGAAATAAAATTCACACTTAAATATCTTTAATAAAAAATATCTCATATAATAATTATCAAAATTTTGTTCTACGTACGAGAACCTTCGAAAATTAATGGTATATACAATATAAATTAAAAATTTCAAATCAAAACTATTATAAATCTCCTGATCAAAATATTCCTATCTTTTCTAAAGTAATTGTTAAAAAAATATGTTGTTAATAAAGAAAAACTGAAGAATAGTAAAACTATCTCTCTGATGATGAGTTATCCAAATCCTTGTTCCTAGTAGCCTACACTATCTATTCTTAGCAGTCCTCTAGGTAATCAGCAATCTTACAACAAATTGTTGCGAGCCTATTGTCTTTAATGATCTCCTTCAAATGCACGTATCGTTTAAATCATGCTAGCCTCTTTTCCTCTCGAGAAACTGAATCTCTCGTTCTGGCCTGAACAGTGACTCTTAAAACATAAGTCGAAAAATATAACACAATATTTTATTGGATCAGCTTCTGTCAGATACACATACTCCACGAAAACTCACAAACATTCTGTTTAGAATTCACTGAAAATAATAAAAAGTGTCAACATTGTGCGCCATTCTCGGTACCGGTTTTTGGAGCGACGCACCGCTGCGAAGGAAAGAGAGACGATCAACACCTAAGAAACCATAGACAATCCCTTTATTTTAAGTTCAATTTAAACAGTTTTTATATGTATTTACCACAAAAATAAAGTTTATTTTACAAACACTTTTCTTATGATAGTTAGAGTTAATAATTTCCTCAACACATTCACTTCTACTGCTTACTACCTCTGGGAAACCACCAGTGAACAACGACTGTTTCCTTGCACTCTTAGAAAAACAACTGATTATCTTTTCTCCCTCAAAAATCTAGCTAAACTCTTATTCCCACATACCTATCCCACTTTTTGCAATCTTCTCCAATTAGAGTTCGTCACACTTATTCCCATCTACCATTTAGATAACAAACAACAATTTTACCTACAATTATAAATTTGCTAAAACCTATCAACATGCTAGTCGGTTTCTACAAATTCTTAAGAACTAACGGAGAATTATATTTTCTAAATATTTCTATTCTATTGTCTTATTCACTGTATATCGATGTACAAATCTATTTGGAAAACCCGCTCACATTGTTCACGATTTCACTAAGCTCACTCACGTCACTCGAATATATTTTACAAAGAAAATATAATTTATGCATATCCTTAAATTTTGTTTACTACAGGGAATCCAGGATAATGGACTTTCATTTCTTCGAAATATCTTTTATTTTGCACTTTGAAATATATTAAAAGTAAACCAATATTATTTTCAATTTTACATATCATAACAATATATTATATATATATATATATATATATATATATATATATATATATATTATATATATATATATATATATATATATATATATATATATAACCTTAAAAAAAGGCTTCAATCATAACACGAGCTGTATTTAAGGCGTGCTCAAAAAGCCAGAGAGGTTTTGAAAGAAGTTAAAATTGCCAACATACGTAAAAAATTAAGTGTATGGATTCACGTTTCATTTGAAAAAAGCCTTATGATTTCCAACTTTGATTTGCACCATACCATACTATAAACGAAAAATAGATTTGTACACAGTTTGGGTATTCACCAGTTTAGCGATGAAGGCAAAGTTTTTCTGTATGCCTGGTATAAAACTACGGCCCTTCGAGAAGCATCAAAAATAGGATCATATTCGGTAAAACAATTTCGATTACGATAGCCTGGAATAAATCAGCACATATCTTATACCACTCTCAGATATTTCGTAACCAGAATGTTCTTTTCGGCCTAGGAATTTTGACCTATAATATTAGGTTTAAAAGTTTATACCTCTCTACATGCCTCATCACGTGCCAAAAATATTTATTCCACCGATTCTTTGTTAACTATATATTTTTCCTTTAACATTCTCAACATTTAGAAGTTTTAAAATTTTGACGTTAAAAAGTATTGCAAGTATTGGTTTGAGCTTATCTTAAATTTAATATATTTTATACAAGTTTGAAATTATATAACTAAAGTTAGTTTAAATGTACACAAAGTTAACAAGATAACTAGACATATTGATGTAAGTTGATTTATTAAACAAAAAATTAAAATTGACATTGTAGTTAATTCGACTACAGTCTATTTTTCAATGATATACACACTCCATTCTTTGACACAAGGATTATTTCTGGTGATAACTGCAATTCCTTTTGAGTCGTTGAAGGATATATCTCAAAGTTTCTTATTACTTTTGATATGATACTCTTCATTTCCAGCATAGCAAACTTTTGACCTGAAAAATTAACCATTGAGAATTCGACATTTCTTAATATTTTAATACACTTAAGCAAAGTACAATAAAAAACAAAACTGTATGGCAACATTTATTTTACCCCAATGAAAACATTAACATTGTAAGTAATTCAAAAATTTTAAAGAGTAACTGTAAACTAGATAATAAAAAACACTTGATAATTTGGCTTGATTCTCGGGAGAAAATTTTTTTATTAAAAACAAAACACCTCACGACGGAACGAGATAAAAATTAAAAGTATTGTCTTATATAGACAGGTATTAATAAATGCAATACTTTTCAAGGTTTTAAAAAAATTCTGCAAGAGTATGACGACTGACTAATAGCTGACCAATGACAAATATTCGATGAATAAAGCCCCTGAGAATTAAAACAGATCTTGTAGCAATAAATCATTTGACAAATGTCAACTGTATGTAAGTTTACTTTTTTTATTTATATTGTTATTTTTAATGCAAATTCTTTTAATCGGTCAGATAGCCAAGCGGGTCAGGCAGCCGATTCTCATTCGCTTCATTGTCGAATGGTTAACCAGGTGCAAGCCCTGGCTCGGTGTACAGAAAAATTAAAAGGCTGACGCAGCAGTTTAAAATTCTAAAATAACTCTGCTGCTTAGACTAGAATATGCTGGTGTCTGATCGGCCTATGGTAAAGCAATAAGGCAAGAGATAATGGCTTGTATGTCGGTGACACTTCTCCATAGATTCCTACCCGCGCCTAAATACCGACATATATATATATATATATATATATATATATATATATATATATATATATAAATATATATATATATATATATATATATATATATATATATATATATATATATATATATATATATATATATATATATATATATATATATATATATATCTAAAGTGATTAATTTCGTCCAAAAAATGGTGGGACTATGTGAAAGGTGTTATTGCGTATGTGTTTATTGCTTTTACTATGTGCTTGGAATTAAGTTTGCTTTTGAGTATTATCCAGATTTAGCCATACGGCTCACACTCCCTCTAAGAGGAAAATTCACTCATCCCAGATACCTACGGTATCAAAAGGATTGAGCTCTGGTGGGACTCTTTCTGTGTTATTGAGCCCTAGGTGACTTGGTTTGCTGGAGTATCTCCCAAAAATTTTCGTACACCTCTGGACGTCGCGAGGAGTACAGCTACTTAACAAGGAACTAACAATAAAGTATATTAATAAAGTTCCAACTATTATTAGTACTAACCAACAAAATGCCGCAAAAGTGGAAAATATTTGCAATAAAACGTTAAATAGTTTTTCCTAAACATTTGAAAAATCTCATTAAACAAGAATTATGTCTTGAACCGCCGCCTTCAAATGTGTAATATAGGGAGATGGCTCCATCTGAAACAGTGGTAGTATCTATCATCGATAGATAGCATTACGTTCGGCTTCGAAACGCTTCAAACGAAACGACATAGTAACAGGGTTACCATATCAATTACTTTGTACAACAATTTGGCAGAATATAACAAAACTTAGTAGGAATGTCGGTTTGAATTTTGAACTGGTCATGCTAAAACTTACAGAGTTACAGAATAGTACCTAGATACTGCAACTTATATTTTAAAAGTACGATATCATAAAATTTACACTCTATAAGTATCATATCTATAAAAAACTTATCTAGTTTTAAAAACCTATTTAGGCGTTTTTAGTAAATTATTTTAGTATTTATAAACAATAGTGTTCCTTGCATAACGGCAATTAAAGGTTAAATTTGCAGATAATGATAGTCCATTATTTATGTTGCGCAATAATATGAGGTTGTTAGGAACCAAATTTTCCAGAATTCAATTGAAGGATGACTTAACTAAATATCAAATAAACTATTTAAATAAGGTGCGAGAGGAACTGAAAAAACGTAATCTACTTAACAAGGAACTAACAATAAAGTATATTAATAAAGTTCCAACTATTATTAGTACTAACCAACAAAATGCCGCAAAAAAACAAATAGGGTTGACAACAATAAATATTATTTAGACTAATATTGCTTCTTTACATGCTAAGTTTTCTGACTTTTTGTCATTTACATCTTCTAATTCCCATATACATATTTTTGGGATGGAGTTCCTCTGAAATCGGTACGGGAAGTTAATAATTTTAGTGTTACGGTCAACCAAACAATAAGTTGGTCTACTCAAACACCAAAAGTAGTTAGTAAAGCGAACTCTGCGTTATTATTTATCACAAAAGCTTTTCATAGAATATCTTCACACTTGTTTTTGAAATTCTACAAAAGTTATGTCAGACTTCACCTAGAATTTGCAGTGTCAGTTTGGTCACCTCATTTGCAAAAAGCCATTCATTTTAGAAGGAGTACAACTAAGAGGGACCTAGCTACCTTTTAATTATGGAAGATTAGACTATGAAACCCGACTAAGAAAGCTCAAGTTGTCTCCATTAACTCTTAGACGAGAAAGATATGATGTCATATCTACTTATAGAATTCTTAGTGGGGATTTTTGGAGGGGGGTGGTAGAGGTCATAACTATAAATTGAAAAAGAAGTATTTTAAAACCACCTTAAGGCAAAACTTTTTAGTTAACCGAGTTTTTGATAAATTAAACGGTTTAAGTGATGACATAGTAGAAGCTACTAGTTTAAATAGTTTCAAAAACAAGTTTGATGAGAACGAACAAAATATTGTACCTAGTCTTATGTTAATTATATTGGTTGTATTTTTTTTTCTTTTGAAAACTTATGTATACTTGGTAATATTTGTATTTTTGTAATTTGCTATTGCCAGCAGTTTTTGTAAGTATAAATTCTTTTGAAAATTATTTTTATTTTTACTTTGTGAGAAAATTTGATTTATATTATATTATTTAGTTTAGTACATACAAATATTTTCTACAAATAATATTATTTCTTACAAATAATATGCAAGGAACACTATTGTTTATAAATACTAAAATAATTTACTAAAAACGCCTAAATAGGTTTTTAAAACTAGATAAGTTTTTTATAGATATAATACTTATAGAGTGTAAATTTTATGATATCGTACTTTCAAAATATAAGTTGCAGTATCTAGGTACTATTCTGTAACTCTGTAAGTTTCAGCATGACCAGTTCAAAATTCAAACCGACATTCCTACTAAGTTTTGTTATATTCTGCCAAATTGTTGTACAAAGTAATTGATATGGTAACCCTGTTACTATGTCGTTTCGTTTGAAGCGTTTCGAAGCCGAACGTAATGCTATCTATCGATGATAGATACTACCACTGTTTCAGATGGAATGGAGCCATCTCCCTATATTACACATTTGAAGGCGGCGGTTCAAGACATAATTCTTGTTTAATGAGATTTTTCAAATGTTTGGGAAAAACTGTTTAACGTTTTATTGCAAATATTTTCCACTTTTGCGGCATTTTGTTGATTAGTACTAATAATAGTTGGAACTTTATTAATATACTTTATTGTTAGTTCCTTCTTAAGTAGATTACGTTTTTTCAGTTCCTCTCGCACCTTATTTAAATAGTTTGTTTGATATTTAGTTAAGTCATCCTTCAATTGAATTCTGGAAAATTTGGTTCCTAACAACCTCATATTATTGCGCAACATAAATAATGGACTATCATTATCTGCAAGTTTAACCTTTAATTGCCGTTATGCAAGGAACACTATTGTTTATAAATACTAAAATAATTTACTAATATCGCCTAAATAGGTTTTTAAAACTAGATAAGTTTTTATAGATATAATACTTATAGAGTGTAAATTTTATGATATCGTATTTTCAAAATATAAGTTGCAGTATCTAGGTACTATTCTGTAACTCTGTAAGTTTCAGCATGACCAGTTCAAAATTCAAACCGACATTCCTACTAAGTTTTGTTATATTCTGCCAAATTGTTGTACAAAGTAATTGATATGGTAACCCTGTTACTATGTCGTTTCGTTTGAAGCGTTTCGAAGCCGAACGTAATGCTATCTATCGATGATAGATACTACCACTGTTTCAGATGGAGCCATCTCCCTATATTACACATTTGAAGGCGGCGGTTCAAGACATAATTCTTGTTTAACGAGATTTTTCAAATGTTTAGGAAAAACTATTTAACGTTTTATTGCAAATATTTTCCACTTTTACAGTTTTATATATGTTGTTATTAAAAATTTTTTTGGTTTCTTACCGGAAGCTTTATTATAAGCAGAAATATTTTAGTTTTTCCTATTGGAACAAAACTGTAAATTCAAAAATTTTCAAAAAATTCCTAAGTATTTCTTATAATTATATCTTGATGCTATAAAAAATTAACAAAATTAAATATCTGGTTATCCCGCTTTATACTTGGAAAAAAGTAGTTTTTTTGAGTTTTTTTAACAACGAAAACATGAAGTTTGCTTAAAAATTGTCAAAATACTTCTAGTCATCTTATTCACCTTCTCAAATTTTTTCAAATTTTTTGAATTTGGAATTTATCTTTTAGGGGGTGCAGATCAACCTTAAAGGCATAGTTATATCCTAAATTTAATAACGTTTAGCTAATGCCAGGCTATATTCAGCTGCGGTATATATACATATCTAAAAAGTATAATACAAAGGCTTGCAATTACAATACGAGAACAATACCATTATTATAAGAAGAGTCTATGTATCTCTGAGGTATTTTTAATAAAAAACGTATGTGTTAAACAGTCCTTGTTACTATCATCATCTTTATTTATCGTTATGTTCGGTTTCTTCTTCTGATTTCTAGTATCCCTAAGTCAGTCTCAACTTCATCTAATCACCTAGTTCGCGCTCTGTCTCTGCTCCTTTTTTATATAGGTGTTCCTGTCATTGTGTTTTTAGCAATTATATTGTCAGACGTTCGTATCATGTATTAAGTCCAACTAAGTCACTATATTTTATTAAACGTTACGAAATCTGGTTCATTAAAAAGTTGATATAATTTGAAATTATATCTTTTGCACCACGGTCCTTGATCGTTTATA